CTTTACAGGAAAATAAAGAGACACTCAAAATATTTGTACTGTATCAAACAGTATATGTCATTTCAGGTTAGTATGCGTTTAAATTTTTCTTTTTTTAAAACACAAGTTTAAACGTTTGTTTTGCTTAACCTATTTATGTACAATTTAATTGTAAATCGGATTTTAAGATCACACAAAAAAGTCACATTACACAAATCAATCTTCAAAATAATAGCATTTATCTGAAATAAAATGCTTTTGTAACATACGCTACATTTGAAAAAAATTAAAGAAAGTAATATACTACTTTTATTCAGCAAGGACGCATTAAAGTAATCAAAAAGTGAACGCAGACATTTATAATGTTACAAAGATTTTTTATTTTGGAAAAAATCTACTTTGAATCTTCTATTCATCAAGGAATCCTGACTTTTTAAAAAGAAAACATTAATAATAATCAGAAATGTTTCTTGGGCAAATCACATCAGCATTTTATTACCTCGGTAATATTTAATGTTTTCTTGCGTGGCTGGATGTTGAGTTTGTATGGTCTGATGCGCGTGTGGGCTGTGATGGATTATCACCTGTGTCGTGATCATTCTCAAATGTCGTGTTGCTGGTGTAGTCAGTGGTTAGATCAGTAGCAGTCTATTTCTGCCCTACAAAGGCAAAGCGCAGTAACTACACATTTGGTCAAAAATGAGTTAAGACTTGTAATGGGCTTTATGACATGTGTTCTTTCTTGTGAAAAAATATCTGGGTTAAATTATGTCTCGTTTCGGAGATGCATTACCACATAATCTATCCATAATATGTTTGACTGGCTGGTATAAAAACTTTAAAGGCCTTTTTCTCCGTTTCTTTGTTTGCGTAGTTAGTGCATTTTGCCTTTGTAGGGCAGTTTAATCGGGACAGTTGGCATGTGAACATAATATTAGCAACACATCTATGACACCGTTCGGTTTTATTGTTGTCATAAATTAATACACGTCTTAATTACATTACATTAGGCTGACGCATTTTTACATTAACACATGTTGTCAATAAATTATCTTTATCTGTAAGTTTTGGCCACTGCCTGACATCATCTACCAGGTACCCAATGTAAACCAGACATTTTATTTCATAAGCAGGATCCGCTTTCATTGAAATATCATTAGAGGGCTGTCAGTGTCACCATCACACTTCGCAGGCCCGCAGTAATGGCGGCAGACAAGATGGCGGCGCCCATAGAGTTCGTGGCGGATTTGTGTATAGAACAAATGTCAGTAGTCTAATATAGTCTTACTAATGTAGGAGCGAGAGTGAATGAACGAACACACAGCGCACGTGTCTGTGAATTCATCCATTCATTCACACACATTTAATATTTAAACAGTCTTTGTGCAGTTTACAGACACTATTCAATAACGCGATTAGAACAAAGTGCTTAAATAAATTACTTACTACATCAGCTGAATACGTGGTTCTCGAAATGAAACAGATAACTGAGTTAACTTTTCCAGGATTACTAGTAGTCTATTATTCCTCACTGCGCAGAAAGACGAGATAAAGGTTAGGGCGTTCTGATGTGGGCGTTTTCATGGGTTGCCTCAACATTAACGTTTGAATAGCACACGCTCTCAGTGGGCGTGGTCACATTAACACGTCATACGCTATAATTAGGTGACAGGAAAAAGACAGACATCTCTCTATTTTCATACAGATTACATTAACTGAGAATAATTGCTTTTTATATAAATTACTTTACTTAAAAGAAGAGAATTTCAGCTTCATAAAGAGAAATCTGTCATGTCTCTGGCTACGTTCACACTGCAGGGCTTAATGCTCAATTCTGTTTTTTTGAAACTAAAATTTGCTAAAGTTTGTGGATGAATTGTATTGAATGCTGATGAAAAGTCAGCAAATAAAACGCGAGCAGGTGTTTTACAACCTTCCAGGTGTTTATACAAATAATTTAAAAGCACTAAAATGGCATCGTCTGTCCGAAACAGACGGTACCTGCGAAGAGGCAGACGCCTGAATCGAAGCCAGCGCTCGCTGGCTCTGACACTGGGGCGGGGGGTGTGGCCCGAGGATCTCTCGTCGGGTTTTTGTTCCACACCGTCACCGTCAGATCACCCTGTCCGCGAGTCGAAGAGCTTCTCGAAGAAGAAGCTGAACGAGTAGCGGACGCGGGGACTCTCATTTTAGTCAGATCACTGAGTCTCGATCGCAGTGTAGAGATGGTCATATCCCCACAAAAGGAACATGAGTCATCCACGAACGCTACTGCTGCATGCTGAATGCCCAGGCAAACAGAGCAGCGATCGTGACCATCAGAGGACGACATGAATCGACCGCATCCAGAAGAACACGGGCGAACCATCTTTAAAAAAGACGTGCCACGTGTAGCTCTTTCAAAATAGAGAGGAGGAAATTCACTCTTTCAGCGCTGAGGCGTCCAGGGAGAAGCGCAAAGTCTGGCAGACCACTGCTCAGATCGCAGGCAATGCAGAGTCTCGCTGGGTACCGCCGTCACACCAACACTGAAGAGGAGCTCGTCTCGAAGAGTCTTGTCAGTGAGAATGGCTTAGGAGTGAAGAAGTCTCTTGGCTCCGAAGCGAAAACATACTGCGGTTGCGTTCACTTCCTCCTTTTATACTCACGGAGTAGGGCGGAGTACGCTATGCAAATTTCCGCAGCCCCAAGGCATTGCATGCCATTGGCTCGTGATTAAATACTCGAAGAGGATTGGCTTTCTATGCGAAACCCCCAATCTCCGTCACTTCTGACGTAACTCGAAGTGACTACGAAAGGGAACAATCTACTGCCCACTGACATGGTTTTACAGCTATAGTTATCCAATTTTTTGGTTTTGTACATATGTAGATCAGAGAAATAAAAATTTTCCCTGGGGAATTTCTCTCGACCCCGTAACTCACTTTCAGGACCTTAGTGATTATAAAACCCTGCCGATATGCTAGTAATATGCATTTTAACAAGCTACTAGTGAATAGTGAGGATTAGACCCTAAACTTAAAGTGTTACCTATATTTATTTTATAAAATAAAAATGTATTATCTTATATAAAATAAAATGAAAATCCTAGAATCGCCCGTGCTCTTAACACAGTATAGTCCTTCATGTCTACTGCAATCTCAAAACTCTGGTCAGTTGATAATACCTAGAATATCAAAATTAACTGCAGGCAGTAGATCCTTTCCCAGATAGCAAACTGACATTGAATCAACGTGGAAACGACGTCTCTCATGACATTGAAACAACGTTGATTTTGCTCATTGAATTAACGTTGAACCAACGTCAGACGCGGCATTCTTCAAAGCTGAATGAAAATCGAAAATTGGTTTGCTTTCATAACGTTGAAACAACGCTTTTCCGTTAGTTTTGAAAGAATGACCCGTCTGACGTTGGTTCAACGTTAATTCGATGAGCAAAACAATGTCAGATCAACGTTGTTTCGATGTCATATTTCCACGTTGATTCATTGTCAGTTTGCTATCTGGGTTTCCTATTTAACAAATAAACTCTGGATGGAACAGTCTTTCTAAGATTGTTTGGGAATCAGACACACGCTGTCAGTTTAAATCTAGACTAAAAACATATGTCTTTAGCCTGGCACACAAATAAAACATTATCAATTTATATTATTTATATTATATAAACGATGTAAAATGATTTTAGGCTACATAAATTAGGTCAGCTGGAACCGGGAATAGTTCCCATAAGATGTACTCGCTATATCATAAGAGAATGGCATCTATCTAATATTAGTCTCTCTGTTTATCCTGAGGTTTACCGTAGTCAGGTGGATCCGGCTCGTATCCAGATCTGATGAAGGACCTTAGCCTAGACACGACCACAACGCATCTCTGAAGTTTCAACAGACTGTCCCCTACGAAGGCATCATCGATATGACAAAAGTTTATTTTTTCACGATAAATTTTGAATTTTTCCTCTGTACAGATGAAAACGTTATGAAAATGCTTCCCATTTGAATTTGCGTTCTCCGGCCAACAAAACGCTGTTTTCGTGTTAATGAATGGGCAAAGCGCAATAAAAGTTTTCAGTAGATAACGGTGTCGTGTAAATGGCCCCTAAGTTAATAACTAATGATTTATATTGTATTTACATGATGTTATATCACTTATAAAAGAAAAGAATTATTCAAAAAATTACTTAAGCTGGACAGTGACTCTCTTCTTGAGCTGATGTACAGCCAAAACAATCTTTGTTACTGTGGTGAGCAGGACGGCCGAGGGACGTGAGAGAAAGTCGCGAGGTGCGATTGCTAATGAGCAGCACCTGTGAAGCACATCGGTCTCGCATCTTTTACGAAGGAGCGGAGCCATAAAGGGGGAGCGACGGAGTGGATGAGCGAGAGAGGAACAGGCCTGCTTTTGTTTGTATTTTATATTTTATTTGGTAAGCCAGCAGTCGTCCGCGAGGGGCTGCTGGCCAGTATTTTATATTTTAGTTTCGGTAGCCAGCAGTCGTCCGTGAGGGGATGCTGGCAGGTAATTTGTTTGTTTATTTTATTTAAATAAAGTTTTATTTTTGATTATTATCCGGTTCCTGCCTCCTTCTTCCCTGAACTTTGTTACAGTTAAATTAATTTCCTTTGATCACTGTAAAGCTCTATATAAATGTAGGTGACTTGACTTATTAAATAATAAAGCACATGAGAAATGCAAAGCACACAGTTAAACCTCTCTACAGCACCATTAGCTGCTAGGTAGTAGAGAGAGAGGAACAATGGTGACAAATATTCCTTCCTTTCAGAAATACAGAAAAGGCAGTGGACATAAACTGAACACTGTTATCAGTAACAACACTCGATGGCTGCAACACTCAAAGTAACGACCCATGGCTGCTTAAGACTGATGACAGAAATCACAGAACCCGTTGTGACAGTGCGAGTAAAGGAGATCTAAGGCAATTTGCTGTAATAATGAGTTAATGTTATAGCAAACCTGCAGTCGGATGCATCTGTGTTAAATGGCCTGACTATATCCACAGCCATGGTCCATCTGGCAGCGGCACTGGCTGGAGAGAAGCAGGGTGGGACTTAACAGTTTAGTCATTGAGCTGAAACACAGTATGACCTAAGAACAGCAGACTGGTTTACCGGAAGATGCGAACAAGCAGCTTCAAGTGCTTTGTCATGCTTAGACATGTCAGTGTCACATCCGTGGATGATAATGTTGTTCAGGTAATTTTCAGGCCGCAGTCTCTGAAGCCAATCCGTAAGGAACACAACAAAAATGGAATAGTTTGTTGTAATAAAGGTCTTGAGGTCACGACTGTCCTCATGCAGTGGCATTAGGTACAGTAGTAAGCATTAGTCAGGAGGATGGTGGTTTTAGAGGTTGTCTCAAAATTAAAACAAAGCTTTTACAACTCCTTCAAACTGAAAACTACGTCACACTTCAAGCTTTTATAACCACTTCAGACTTCAAGCTTTTAAAACTACTTCAAACTTTTGAGCTAAGCTTTTACAAGCCAATGTCAAAGTTTGCCATGACAAAATAAATTTTATCTAAGTTACAGGTATTATTATTCTGAGGCCCTAAATTCCTCCTAGAGCTACAAACACAAAACATGGAGCAAACCTTCTGGCTAGTATGGTTTGTGTAATACATTTTCAAACTAATCTGCCTTTCAAACAATTCATATAACAGACTTCGAAATAGGCATTTTTTAATCTAGTAATGACTGGTATAAATAGATAGACAGGCAGAGAGACAGGCAGAGAGACAGGCAGGCAGATAGATAGATAGATAGATAGATAGATAGATAGATAGATAGATAGATAGATAGATAGATTCATCATCATAAAAAAAATGTTGCATGAGATGTCCTCATTCATATACTGAAACAAATTTGTGTGTGTGTTGGTCTAGAGCCGCCACCTGATGGGTCTGGTTGGAGTCAGCTGGAACTAGCAGCAGTAATTCTTGTGCCGTCGTGCCTGGTGTGTATAGGTGTCATTCTGGGAATGTGTGCCGTACAAAACCTGCGATGCACACACATTAAAGCCCACAAACAGGATCCAGAGGAACCCCTGGATGACCATACTCTGGTGTCACCTGACAAATGCCTGAAAGAGCTCATCTATGACATGAGCACCTCTGGCTCTGGTTCAGGTGAGAGCTGGCTGTGCACAAAAAAAAAAAACAACAACAACAACAAAAAAACCCCAAATGTTAGTTATCATATGTGTTTCTTTATAACATGAATATGCAAAATGAATAGGTTGCTCAAAAAATGAAAATTATTCCATTGTTTACTCACTTTCATGTGATTCCAAACCAGTTGAATTTCTTTATTCCTTCACACAAATGGAGAAATTTTTAATATTTCTTTTCTGTATAATAGTGAATAAGAACAAATGTTGTCAAGCTCCAAAATTGTAAAAGTGACATGAATCTCATGAAAAACACAGTCTCATCCCAAGACGTCATATAAATGACGTCTTGGGACGTGTTTTGACCATACGTCAACATCCGCCGTTTTAGGGTACCCTTTAACGTCAGTTACATGACGATCCTGGGACGTCATACAACTGACGCTTTAGCTTTACATTTTACCTTTAGGTGACGGGGTAGGTTTAGGGGTAGGTTTAGGTCTGGGGTAGGGTTAGGATCCGATAACGTCATCTAACCATTGGATGTTGACGTATGGTCAAAAGACGTCCCAAGACGTCAGTTATATGACGTCTTGGGATGAGACTGCGCTGTCATGAATCAAAATAAAGTGTTACCAAAAAAAATATTATTAAGGAAAATAATTGAAACCACCAGCAACTAATGTCTTTTGCAGTTAACATGCATCTTTTCTTCTTAACCTGTTTTTGTGTGTGTGTGGGTGTGTGTGTGACCCTGCTGCTCCAATGAGCATTTTGCTGTCCATTTATCACACCTTTATTTTCCTCTTATGTACTTTTCCTCTAGTATTCCTCTTATGGGCATTTATTAATTTCTGACTTTTCAGTATGAGTTAAAACTCTTTTTTGTCCACTTTTACCTGTGAGAGTTTACCTGAACATAAGCAATTATATATCACTTATAAACAATTATATACAACATTAATTGTAGATATTAAGATTGATGTGGTTTGGAATTGGTAAAATGTGCTTGGAAAAAATATGATCAAAATATTGACTTGCATAAAAATGATAAACACACTAAGTTGATTTAGATAAAAGTGCCTGCATGCTAAATGTACATTTCCATCTGTTCTTCAAACACTTCATACACCCCTTTGTATGACATCATATGAGATTAGTCATATTTATCTGAGAAGAGTTATATTTGGATTCATTTGGATTACTTCTATGTTTTGTTTTGTTATGAGTTGTAAAATGAGCCTATTTCCAAAAAAAAAAAATATATATATATATATCCATTTAATAATGTGGAACAGTCTCTTGAAGTTTTCCATTTAACTAAGAATACCTGGTAAACTATTTAACATAGCTAACCTGGCAAACAATTTTTCAATAAATCAAGCACTTTCTTTTGAAAAAGTAAAATCTAGTTTATTGTTTCTTAAAACCTGCTGATATATCACTTGATAATAATTTGAAACAGTGTATATTTGAATCACATGAGATGAGTAAATTACATAATTTTTGAAGGGCTAGATATGATTTAATGATTTTAATTAATCATCATAAATATACATTTTTTTTTTTTTGCAGTGAGTGAGATTTGAACAGGTGTATGGACATATATCTGTTGTTAACCCTTTAGCTGACAGTTTATGTGCTATTCTCTCAGGATTGCCTTTATTGGTCCAGAGAACGATTGCTCGAACCATTGTCCTCCAGGAAAGCATTGGAAAGGGGCGCTTCGGGGAAGTGTGGAGGGGCAAATGGAGGGGGGAGGATGTCGCTGTGAAGATCTTCTCATCACGAGATGAACGCTCCTGGTTTCGTGAGGCTGAGATTTATCAGACAATAATGTTACGTCACCAGAATATTTTGGGATTTATTGCCGCTGATAACAAAGGTATTACATGAAGGGATTTTGGTGTAAAATCACATTAATGCATGAAAATTAATGTAAGAACGAGGCATTTTGTTTGTTTGAATTGTTTACTTGCATTTAACAAGAAACACATTTAGTAATAATTTTATTGTATACACATTTTTGTGTAAGATTTCAAGACAGGAGTATAATTTCATAGGTTCACTTGATGCTGCGTCAGTAGGTGATGCTATGGAAACACACTCCAGGTTTGAAGATTGTCTGAAGTCTGTATAGAATCAAATCAGTTGACTAGCTGATGCCACTTGCACCACCCACTGAGACACTATTGGATTTACTTGGCCACCATTACTCAGATTTCTCTTCTTCAGGAAGCAGTGTATCTGACCCTTGTAGTCTGTCATTATTGTGTTCTATTTGATTGGACTCATCATTAGGGCCCGAGCACTAACAGTGCGAGGACCCTATTGAAACTGTTAGGGTTATTAGGGCCCGAGCACTAACAGTGCGAGGACCCTATTGAGACTGTTAGGGTTATTTTTAGGGCCAGAGCACTAACAGTGCGAGGACCCTATTGAAACAGTTAGGATTATTAGGGCCCGAGCACTAACAGTGCGAGGACCCTATTGAAACTGTTAGGGTTATTTTTAGGGCCCGAGCACTAACAGTGCGAGGACCCTATTGGAACTGTTAGGGTTATTAGGGCCCGAGCACTAACAGTGCGAGGACCCTCTTGAAACTGTTAGGGTTATTTTATTTTTTATTAGGGCCCGAGCACTAACAGTGCGAGGACCCTATTGAAACTGTAAGGGTTATTTAGGGCCCGAGCACTAACAGTGCGAGGACCCTATTGGAACTGTTAGGGTTATTTAGGGCCCGAGCACTATCAGTGCGAGGACCCTATTGAAACTGTTAGGATTATTAGGGCCCGAGCACTAACAGTGCGAGGACCCTATTGAATCTGTTAGGATTATTATTTTTTTTTCTTTTTTCCTAGGGATTTAGTCGGATCGACTTCAAATTTCTGCTGTGCCTTCTAAAGGCATTGATGATGTAAAGTTGTGCTATCTGCGCATTTTCGTCGATGGGCGTGTCCGTGGCGTCGATGATTCGCCATGAAACAGGAAGTTGTAGTAACTTGGCTGTAAATGCCCAGATCTGCACGAAATTTGACACATTTGACAAGAGTGCCGCCCTGAACAATTCTACATGCTGACATTCACCCACAGTAATAGCGCCACCTGCTGGCAACAGGAAGTGACCTTTAACGAAGCAGCCCCGGTCGCATGTTTGACCGACATGTACGAAATTTCTGTGGCACATCTACCATGTCCAGACGCACTGAAAAGTCTCTTGGAGCGTTGCCCTAAACTCAACAGGAAGTCGGCCATTTCGAATTTTACCGCCATTTTTGGATGATTTACTCATTACGTACTTTAACTAACTCCTCCTAGGGCTTTAGTCGGATCGACTTCACATTTCTGCTGTGCCTTCTAAAGGCATTGACGATGTAAAGTTGTGCTATCTGCGCGTTTTCGTCAATGGGCGTGTCCGTGGCGTCGATGATTCGCCATGAAACAGGAAGTTGTAGTAACTTGGCTGTAAATGCCCAGATCTGCACAAAATTTTACACATTTGACAAGAGTCCCGCCCTGAACAAATCTACATGCCGACATTCACCCACAGTCATAGCGCAACCTAGTGACAGCAGGAAGTGACCTTTAACGAAGCAGTACCCGTCGCATGTTTGACCGACATGTACGAAATTTCTGTGGTACATCTACCATGTCCAGACACACAGAAAAGTCTCTTGGAGCGTTGCCCTAAACTCAACAGGAAGTCAGACATTTCTAATTTTACCGCCATTTTGGGATGATTTACTCATTACGTACTTTAACAAACTCCACCTAGGGATTTAGTTGGATCGACTTCAAACTTCTGCTGTGCCTTCTAAAGGCATTGACGATGTAAAATTGTGCTATCTGCGCGTTTTCGTCGATGGGCGTGTCTGTGGCGTCGAAGATTCGCCATGAAACAGGAAGTTGTAGTAACTCGGCTGTAAATGCCCAGCTCTGCACAAAATTTTACACATTTGACAAGAGTCCCGCCCTGAACAAATCTACATGCCGACATTCACCCACAGTCATAGCGCCACCTGCTGCCAATAGGAAGTGACCTTTAATGAAGCAGCGTAGCAAATTCACAGCCGCACCGGCTGAGCTGCAAAATATGCAACGCGGCCGCCTCACACCCCGACGCGGTACAGGTGCGAGGGCCCGCCCATCGCTGCTTGCAGCTTTAATTATTATTATTTTTTTTTTTTTCTGCAAAGTAAGTGCCATTTTCGGGGCCGCAACATGCTCAAAAACTCACCAAATTTGGCACGCTTGTCAGGACTGGTGAAAAATTTCGTATTTTGTGGGTTTCGCGGATGGGCGGGGCAAAATGGCACGCTAGCGCCACCTAGAAAATTGGAAAAAATTAGCCCCTCGTCCACGTTCAACCTACATGCACGAAATTTGGTGGGGACGTGTATCATATCAAGACGCACAAAAAAGCCTCAAGAACCCATACCCTAAACTCGACAGGAAGTGACCTTTAACGAAGCAGTACCCGTCGCATGTTTGACCGACATGTACGAAATTTCTGTGGTACATCTACCATGTCCAGACACACAGAAAAGTCTCTTGGAGCGTTGCCCTAAACTCAACAGGAAGTCAGACATTTCTAATTTTACCGCCATTTTGGGATGATTTACTCATTACGTACTTTAACAAACTCCACCTAGGGATTTAGTTGGATCGACTTCAAACTTCTGCTGTGCCTTCTAAAGGCATTGACGATGTAAAATTGTGCTATCTGCGCGTTTTCGTCGATGGGCGTGTCTGTGGCGTCGAAGATTCGCCATGAAACAGGAAGTTGTAGTAACTCGGCTGTAAATGCCCAGCTCTGCACAAAATTTTACACATTTGACAAGAGTCCCGCCCTGAACAAATCTACATGCCGACATTCACCCACAGTCATAGCGCCACCTGCTGCCAATAGGAAGTGACCTTTAATGAAGCAGCGTAGCAAATTCACAGCCGCACCGGCTGAGCTGCAAAATATGCAACGCGGCCGCCTCACACCCCGACGCGGTACAGGTGCGAGGGCCCGCCCATCGCTGCTTGCAGCTTTAATTATTATTATTTTTTTTTTTTTCTGCAAAGTAAGTGCCATTTTCGGGGCCGCAACATGCTCAAAAACTCACCAAATTTGGCACGCTTGTCAGGACTGGTGAAAAATTTCGTATTTTGTGGGTTTCGCGGATGGGCGGGGCAAAATGGCCCTCGTCCACGTTCAACCTACATGCACGAAATTTGGTGGGGACGTGTATCATATCAAGACGCACAAAAAAGCCTCAAGAACCCATACCCTAAACTCGACAGGAGGTCCGCCATTTTGAATTTGGCGGCCATTTTTGGACGATTTACAGACTCCGTACTTTAACGAACTCCTCCTAGGGATTTTGTCGGATCGACTTAAAATTTCTGCTGTGCCTTCTAAAGGCATTGACGATGTAAAGTTGTCGCGTGTTCGTGGCGTCGAAGATTCGCCATGAAACAGGAAGTTGTAGTAACTTGGCTGTAAATGCCCAGATCTGCACGAAATTTTACACATTTGACAAGAGTCCCGCCCTGAACAAATCTACATGCCGACATTCACCCACAGTCATAGCGCCACCTACTGGCAACAGGAAGTAACCTTTAACGAAGCAGCCCCCGTCGCTTGTTTGACCGACATGTACGAAATTTCTATGGTACATCTACCATGACCAGACGCACAAAAAAGCCTCAAGAACTCATACCCTAAACTCGACAGGAAGTCCGCCATTTTGAATTTGGCGACCGATTTGGGACCATTTACACACTCCGTACTTTAACGAACTCCTCCTAGGGATTTAGTCGGATCAACTTCAAATTTCTGCTGTACCTTCTAAAGGCATTGACGATGTAAAGTTTTGCTATCTACGCGTTTTCGTCGATGGGCGTGTCCGTGGCGTAAATGATTCGCCATTAAACAGGAAGTTGTAGTAACTTGGCTGTAAATGCCCAGATCTACACGAAATTTTACGCATTTGACAAGAGTCCCGTCCTGAACAAATCTACATGCCGACATTCACCCACATTCATAGCACCACCTAGTGGCAAGAGGAAGTGACTTTTAACGAAGCATTTCCCGTCGCATGTTTGACCGACATGTACGAAATTTCTGTGGTACATCTACCATGTCCAGACGCACAGAAAAGTCTCTTGGAGCGATGCCCTAAACTCAACAGGAAGTCAGCCATTTCTAATTTTACCGCCATTTTTGCATGATTTACTCATTACGTACTTTAACTAACTCCTCCTAGGGCTTTAGTCGGATCGACATCACATTTCTGCTGTGCCTTCTAAAGGCATTGACGATGTAAAGTTGTGCTATCTGTGCGTTTTCGTCCATGGGCGTGTCCATGGCGTCGATGATTCGCCATGAAACAGGAAGTTGTTGTAACTTGGCTGTAAAAGCCCAGATATGCATGAAATTTCACAACTTTGACAAGAGTCCCGCCCTGAACAAATCTACATGCCGACATTCACCCACCAGTCATAGCGCCACCTGCTGGCAACAGGAAGTGACCTTTAATGAAGCAAAGTAGCAAATGCACAGCCGCACTGGCTGAGCTGCAAAAAATGTAACGCGGCCGCCTCAGACCCCGACGTGCTACAGGTGCGAGGGCCCGCCCATCGCTGCTTGCAGCTTTAATTTTTATTTTATTTTTTTTATTTTTTCTGCAAAGTAAGCGCCATTTTCGGGGCCGCAACATGCTCAAAAACTCACCAAATTTGGCACGCATGTCAGGACTGGTGAAAAATTTTGTATTTTGTGGGTTTCGCGGATGGAAATTTTACACATTTGACAAGAGTCCCGTCCTGAACAAATCTACATGCTGACATTCACCCAGAGTCATAGCACCACCTGCTGGCAACAGCAAGTGACCT